AAAAATATACATACTTTTTGAAAAACAAGCTTGATATGTTGCCCAGACAAGACTTGAACTCCGATCCTCTCGCCTCGGCCTCCTGAGTAGCTGGGAGTACAGGTGTGCATCACCACGCTACACCGCCTTTGACGTTCTGGACCATGGTGCTGGTTACCCTCAGCATTTGCCCGCCCTGGCCCATGCTCCACCTTACTCAGTCTCCCGCTAGCTCACTGCTGGATTCGGTAGGAGGAGAGTCTGTTCGGAGTGGGCGGAGCAGGGCGGGCAGTAATTTGGCAGTCTCTTTCCCTCCTCCCTCCACGCGCGTCTGACGACGCTGGAAGCACAAGGTCTTAGCGAGGGATGGTGGTTATAGAATTCCTGCCGCCTGCATGGCGAACTGCCCAGAAGGTGGCGCTGTTTCCCCGGGACGCCCTGCTCTTGAGCCCGGTGGCGAGTCCTCCGCTATCCTCAGCGCGCGAGCGTGCTCAGGATCAGAACGGCAACTTTGTCTCACCAGGGAGCACTTTCAAAACGACATTTTGGGGGATGTCAGCGAGATCTCTGGGGTTATGATTTGCGCCTAAATTTTAAAAAGGCAAAAATAGCGCTTAAGACGAATCAGTTGCTGTAAAATTAACTGCTTCTCTGGGACTTTAAGCAGAATTTTTTAAATAGCAATTTAGAAAAATTAGAATTTAAAGATGATTGTATTGAAATTATGACTCAAGGCATAAGAGCACTTACAAAGTACATGACCAACACCAGGGGTATCGATAGATACATAGTACATACTTTTGTGCAGACAAAACACCACACCTTCGACCCAAGGGCAATTTCTCCCCTGCCACCTGCCACCCTCAGGGACAGTGTGTCTATTACGGTGACTACATAAAGTATACTAACACAGTTTTAAAATCTTGTTTTCTAGCCGGGTGTGGTGGCACATGCCTGTAATCCCAGCACTCAGGAAGCTGAGGCAGGAGGATCTTTGTGAGTTCAAGACCAGCCTGGGCTACAAAGTAAGCTCAAGGCCAGCCTGAAGTGCATAGTGAGACCCTATCTCCAAAAGACAAAAAAAAAAAAATCTTGTTTTCTTTTTTTATTAGTATGCGTTTGTAGTCCGTGATGTTTACACCCCTTGTGGGAGTTGGGGCCTGTACACAGCACAACTTCATTCTTTTTCTCATACCCCTCCCCTCCTCCAATGCCGTATTTATGATTTTATGTGAAAATTCACAAAAACTTCACTCTAAAGAGGTAAAAGCGGTTCTTGATCCATCATTCAAAACACTAGCATTGCACTGAGTGCCTGCTGCGTGTCTGCCATTCCTCTAAATACTTCATAATTAGGACGTCATTATACCCCATTGTACTGAGTAGCATCACACTGTGTTACGGTACTGGGCGTAGGTACACTAATAGGCAATATGTTACACTGTTACCTGCACAGTACATAACATAATTGTTCCAGGTAACTGAGGATAGGAGAAATTAAATAGTTTGTCTAGAATCACGCAGCCGGTAGAAGTTGGAACTTGGGTTTA